AGGCAAGATACTATTCTTCTCAGCAAGGTATATTATAATCAATAAAATAAAAGAAGACAAGTTTCTTAAACAATAAGAAACTTGTCTTTTATTTTATTGATTATAAGATACTATTCCTTTAACTTCCCATTACTGAGGGAACCAATTAATATTGATTTTATTCAACTTATCGAGTATTTTTCAAGGGACCGGGAAAAAATGTTCACTTTATCGAGAGATTCAAATTTACGAGTTTCAAATTATCAAAATATATCTATTATACTTTTTTTTATAAGTTTATAGAGAATTGTTTTAACAAATGTTCGTTAGACAAACTTTTACTCGGGTAAAACCGCGGCGAAGCCGGGTACATCCGCTAGTAGAATATAAAAGCATCCAGGGCTAAATTTCTCACACAATTTTATGTCTCCAGATTTCAGGTCAACATGCCCTTCACTAGGAGCTACTAGGAGTATAACACACTTCTAGTTAACCAACTATACACAAAGAAAATTAAATATCTATTTATACAATAGAACCTCCCTGTAAAGGACAACTAATTGCATAGCCAAAGTGTCCTTTAGGGAGAGGTGTCCTCTTACTGGAGAGTTGCTAAATAGTAAAAATGGTAATGTTAGCTAAGAAGACTGTCCTTTATAGAGAGGTGTCCTCTAACGTGAGTGTCCTCTCATGGAGGTTCTAGTGTATATGAGATATCTATATATATAATAAATAAAGGTGAAAGTAAATGAGAAGTACTGTGATATTTTCCCCATTCAGTACTTTTGTCTGAAGATGGTAACAACGCTGTCACTGAAACATCACACACTTTATTTATTTAGATTTGGTCTTATTACCTTTTTACTTATAATTATTATATAAAAAAATAAGAGGGCAGACTGTGCACTTGTGAATGTATTGACAAGATGTCAATTATCTAGGGACTCTTATATACAAGTATACTTGAATATATATTATTAAAATAAAAAAGGCATATCATGACCAGGAGCACATGTGCTTTCCAGAAGGCAGAGCGCCATCTGGTGGAACAGAAATCAACTATTCATTGATTTAGCTTGTCCTCTGATATTTGGCCAACCCAATTTCTTGATAAATCAAGAAAAGCCATTTATTTTTTTCTATTATTTTTTCATATATATATATATATATATACAGTAGAACCTCCATGAGAGGACACTTGTGCTAGAGGACACTTCTCTACAAAGGACAGTTTTCATTTGCAAAATTACCATTTTTACTATTTGGTAGCTCTCTGGTAAGAGGACACCTCTTTCTAAAGGATACTTTGGCTATGCAACTAGGTGTTGTCCTTTACAAGGAGTAGTTCTACTGTATAAATATATATATGTTATATAAAAAATTAGATTTTATGCTTGATTTTTGATTATCTTGAAGATTATGCTATGGTAATGCAGTCGTGAGAATAATCTTGAAAGTATGATAATAAAAATAGTGAAAATTTACACAAGGTAAAAAGACCAAATCCAAATAAATAAATACACACTAACAAGTACACACTATTTATTTATTTGGATTTGGTCTTATTACCTTGTGTTTATAATCTATAATCCAAATTGTGCCTTATCATAGTGAAAATTAGAAATAGCTTTAATTGCACTAAAGGAATATATAAAAAACATAGTTTGATAAAAGTACTGCCTGGCTTAAGGCGTAAGAATAAAATAATGAAAAACTTATTTACATAATTTACTAAAGATTTGAGCCAGCCATCGGGAAACACAACAATCGGTTTTATATAGGGAAAGTCCCGACAGAAAAAGAATATTTCAATCTATGAAATATAATTTTAAATAAAATATTTTTATATAACACATATATATATAGAGAGAGGGGTTACCTGGAGCACCAGGAGACAGAGGAAGTAAAAGTTGGCGAGCCTCTGGAACTGTTCCAGCAGGTTGACAGGGAGGAAGGTCAGGAGGGTGTACTTGGAAGTCTTGATGTAGTTGTCCTGACAACACACATACACTACTCTACCACTATACTCAATACTACGCAACACTATTTATGATAAAGCACACACAATGTTGGTGCTTGGATCCTAACAATGTTAGCTCGGACTTCTGTCTAGCTCCTTTAGCCTTTTGTCTGGTCTTAGATGTTGACGATATCTGGCAGAATGTGGACTGTACACCAGACCTGCGGATTGACTACTGAGACTTCTCTAGGTGCGATGTAGCAGCAAGCTGTTTAAATAAAGGAAGGACCAAACAGCCTCACTGGTTTTAGCTGACTGACTTAACTTTATTATCACTTTCACTCTTTTTATATACATATATATTTAGATAAATTGAAAGAAAAAACAAAAATTTACATAATTATAGAACAATGCAACCTGGCAAGTTATTTGCATAGCTAGGTACAAACACACAATTCGGCTAGTACATTATAAACACAAGATGTAATAAGACCAAATCTCCAGATAAATAAATAAATGCGACGTTTCTGTAACAGTGTTGTTACTACAGTAGTACCTCCATGAGCGGACACCTCTCTACAAAGGATAGTTTTCATTTGCAAAATTACCATTTTTACTATTTAGTAACTCTCCAGTAAGAGGACACTTCTACCTAAAGGATACTTTGGCTCTGTAATTAGGTGTTGTCCTTTACAAGGAGGTTCTACTGTATCATCAGACAAAAGTACTAAGAAGATGGTAACAACACTGTTACCAAAACATCACACACTATTTATTTATTTGGTCTCATTACCTTGTGTTTACTCACTATTTAATAAAATCAACAAAGCATCCAGAGCTAAGTTTCTTGTATGATTATAAACACAAGGTAATAAGACCAAATCCAAATAAATAAATAGTGTGTGTTGTTTCGGTAACAGCGTTGTTACCATCTTCAGATAAAATTCATTCAGTACTTTTGTCTGAAGATGGTAACAACGCTGTTACTGAAATGTCACACACTATTTATTTATTTGGATTTGGTCTTATTACCTTGTGTTTATAATCTATAATCCAAATTGTGCTTTATCATTTGTATGATTATATTTAGCAAGCTTTCAGGCTAACATGCCCAGTAGCAACTAGGAGTCTAATTTCTAGCTAAATATACACAATGTGTGGACATTTCTAAAACATTATTTACAGTTAGGAGTAGAAAAATAAATAAATAAGGCTCAACCACATTGAGAAGTTCAATAGAAAGCACCAGGCAAGTAGTACAAAGAGCCAATCAAGTACAAAAGAGAGAGATGACCTTCCCAATCTCTACTAAATAACATTCAATAGAAACTTCCACAGATTCCATTCTTGCAGCACATGGCATTCACCAGAAATAAACCTTCAACCTCTATATATCAGAAATAATGGATCATATCTGTTAAGGTAAACAATTTGGATTGTAGATTAGAAACACAAAAGGTATCAAGATTAGTCCCGTTACCTCTTATTACTGGAAGATATTCTTAAAACTGGTGGAATAGTATATATACAGTAGAACCTCCCTTTAGTGGACACCTCTCCACAAAGGACAGTTTTCATTTGCAAAATTACCATTTTTTACAATTTAGAAACTCTCCAGTAAGAGAACACCTCTCCCTAAAGGACACTTTGGTTCTGCAATTAGGTGTCCTCTTACCAGAGAGTTGCTAAATAGTAAAAATGGTAATTTTGCAAATGAAAACTGTCTTTTATAGAGAGGTGTCCTTTAGCGCGGGAGTCCTCTAATGGAGGTTTTACATAGAAATAAAAAAGTTATTGAGGTACAACATATATAAATAGACTGAGATTACAAGTCTCCAACTCCATCCTAATATAGGGAGAAGGACATTCACTTGTCCTTGAAGTTGGTAACAGAGCTTCTTAAACTGTATAAATCTATGATGATAAAGCAATAAAGAACAATTTGAATTATAGATTTATACAGATACAAGAAAATAAGACCTAATCCAAATAAATTAATAGTGAGTGACGTTTCAGCAGCAGCATTGCTACCATCACCATACAAAAGAATAAAAATTTTATACTTTTGTCTGATGATGGTAACAATGCTGTTGCCGAAACATCACACACTATTAATTTATTTGGATTAATAAGGCACAATTTGGATTATAGATTATAAACACAAGGTAATAAGACCAAATCCAAATATGGATTTGGTCTTATTACCTTGTGTTTATTTAGATTAAGTCTTCTTGTATCTGCATAAATCTACATTTGGGTGAGCGGCTTGGAAAAAAATAGCCGCATTATTTTTCTCACAAAAATCCTCGATGGAAACAAGGCAACATCAGACTAAGGCTATAAATTGATTGGCTTGGATTGAGGAGGTACATCAGTTTTTGGACCAATTCACCCAAAATAAAATACATAGAGCGAAACTAGAAATGTTCCCAGTCACACACAATTAAACTGATAAATTAGAATAAATTTTTGAACTAAAAAAAATACAACAACAACAACAAAAAGCCTTTATTTAGGGTCACTGACCCTATACAGGATTCACCAGAGGTATGCATAAGAACAAAGCAGTGAGACAAAGGAAATAACGATATAGACAGAAGAAAAAGAAAAAAAAAATAAGAAAGAGAAAGGGGGAAGCAAGAAAAACAACACAAAAAAGAGTAGCAGTAAGAAAACTAAAAAAAAAAAATAATAATATAAACTCCATTTATCTTATTCAAAATACCAAGGTACAACATGGATTGGGAGGTAACAAGATCAAATCAACATAAGCATGCTCTATGTGACATTCTATGTACTTTTGTCTGATGATAGTAACAACGTTGTTACCAAAATGTCGCACACTATTCATTTACTTGAATTTGGTCCTATTATACCTTGTAACATTTAAAATACAATATAACGCGGCTGATGATTGTAAAACGAAAATTAAAATTATACCGCGAATGTTTCTTTTAAAAATCGAAATTTATTTTCAAAGAGAAATAGCGACATTTCTAACTTTGAGGATGAGGTATGGAAAGGTGAAACATGAAGAGTAATGGAGAACGGAAAAATAAAAAGTATCCAGGGGCGGGAATCGAACCCACACCCTTCTGCTTACCGGGCAGGTGCCTTGTCCACTTTAAATATAAGTTATGAACGGAAAAATACGTCCAGGGTAGCCGAGTGGACAAGGCACCTGCCCGGTAGGCAGAAGGGTGTGGGTTCGATTCCCGCCCCTGGACACTTTTTATTTTTCCGTTCTCCATTACTCTTCATGTTTCACCTTTCCATACCTCATCCTCAAAGTTAGAAATGTCGCTATTTCTCTTTGAAAATAAATTTCGATTTTTAAAAGAAACATTCGCGGTATAATTTTAATTTTCGTTTTACAATCATCAGCCGCGTTATATTGTATTTTAAATGTTACTTTAAATATAAGTTATGAACGGAAAAATACGTCCAGGGTAGCCGAGTGGACAAGGCACCTGCCCGGTAAGCAGAAGGGTGTGGGTTCGATTCCCGCCCCTGGACACTTTTTATTTTTCCGTTCTCCATTACTCTTCATGTTTCACCTTTCCATACCTCATCCTCAAAGTTAGAAATGTCGCTATTTCTCTTTGAAAATAAATTTCGATTTTTAAAAGAAACATTCGCGGTATAATTTTAATTTTCGTTTTACTATTATACCTTGTGCTTTTAATCTATAATCCAAATTGTCCTAACCAATTTGGTTTATAGATTAGAAACATAAGGTACCAAGACCAAATCCAGAAAATTGTGCCTGATGCTTCGGTACCAACCTTGTTAAGTGAAAGCTACTCAAAGTGGCATAAACAAATAAAAGGTCAAATAGGAAAATTCAAAACTATTATAGATGCGTATGATTCTTTTTTAAAAATTAAACAATTTCTACTGCCCCTTATTGCAATGGAAAAATTAATGGGAGGGCCTGGCTTATCAGTGGTGAACCCTCCCAGCGGTTTCGCCAGTTTAATAATAAAATTAACTCCGCCTTTGCCAGTCCCAAGCTCGGATGAAAAAGGAGGAGGGGGAGCAGTAACAAGCTAACTAAAAAACCTGGGTTCAGCTGGCCCGGCTGATAGTACCCTGTAAGGGCTCCAGGGATACAGGATGAGCAGCGTTTGTACTCCATGTTAGGAGCGGCTGCACATGGCATCTGTTCCTCATGTCAGAGGCGGCCATTTTTTTGGAGCTAAGTCGGCCTGCCACTAAGTAGTGTTCCCAGTCTTAATGACAAAGGCAGACACATTCTACTTCACCCAGTGTGGAGATAAGAAAGAAGAAGAAGAAGAATAATAAAATTAAAATAAAAGGTCAAATGTTTCGATCTTAAATGAAATTAATCCTGGAATCCCTAATATGCAAATAAAGGGTGTCCTACTTCAGACACATAATGAGAGCAAATAGTTTAGAAAATATGATGATGTTAGAAAACATTGAAGGAAGAGAGGAAGACCTGCAATGAGCTGGCTAGAAGGGGTCAAGAAAACTACCAGAAGGTCACTAGATGTGCTGCGAGTGATAGTCACTAACAGATCTAATGGGGAGAATATTGTCACCAAAAGTCGAACTTGACGGGCACTAGTAACAACAACAAATAGAGAAAAAGGCATCTCCTTATCGTGCAACTGAAAGTTCCTGATGGCTTGCGCCATCTATCGGAATAAATATCAACTATTCTCGTTGATTTTTAATTATTCCAGAATTGGCCAAATACATTTTTCACATTGTGTAGTGTTCTCACGCAATTCTGGCCTTAACTACCCGTTTAATGATTTTTCAGGATGCCTTAATGACCAATTTTCTGGTCGTTGAGGTACAGCTTGCACCACGCTGATGAGGGCCAACAGCCCGAAACGCGTCCTTGGTTAGCTTTTTCTTGATTAATCAAGAATGGGTATTTGGCCAATTCTGGAATAATTAAAAATCAACGAGAATAGTTGATATTTATTCCGATAGATGGCGCAAGCCATCAGCAACTTTCAGTTGCACGATAAGGAGATGCCTTTTTTCTTAATTTATGCACCTTATCCCAGTACAAATATTACATTTGTACTATTTTTTTTAACAAATAGGTTGCTTTGAGATAGTCTTTCTATTTGTCCATCTTGTAGAACCTCACTAATGAGTGACCAAATAGACATCCTCCAAGTACAAAGGCTGCAAACTGCTTTCTACACCTAGAGACATGTGGAAGTACTTACAGCAGTAGCTAACCTCTATCCTAAGGCTTATCCTGGCTTGTATTATATATGTGTACTTGGGGAAAACACACACCATAACATCCTTCTTCTTCTTTCTTATCTTCACACTGGGTGAAGTAGAATGCGTCTGCCTTTGTCATTAAAACTGGGAGCACTACTCAGTGGCAGGCCGACTTAGCTCCAAAAGAAATGGCCGCCTCTGACATGAGGAACAGACGCCATGTGCAGCCGCTCCTAACATGGAGTACAAACGCTGCTCATCCAGTATCCCTGGATTAGGAACCCTTACAGGGCACTATCAGCCGGGCTAGCTGAACCCAGGTTTTTTAGTGAGCTTGTTACTGCTCCCCCTCCTCCTTTTTCATCCGGGCTTGGGACCGGCAAAGGCGGAGTTCTGGCTTGTATTATATATGTGTACTTGGGGAAAACACACACCATAACATCCTTAATGTTGATGATGGTTCAATGAAAAAAAAAATAACTTTGAGTGTTTCTTTTTAATGTCCAGAAATAGACCAATGCCTTTTTTTGAATTATAAAAAAAAAAAAAGAAAAAAGAATTGACCAGGTACTTTTTTTTCAATTCAAGAAGAGGGGTAATCCAAGGCCAAATAGATGTTCATCTTGGAAAATGTGTTTTTGTTTACAACATGTTATTTGCCACAACAAGGAAGTTCTTGTTATTTGCACTTCAAGTAACTCCTCTGGCCTGATGGTAATAACACTGTTACTGACACCTCACACACTATTTATTTGGTATTATTACTTTGTATTTATGGGGGGTCGGTGGAAGGCTGGTTAAACCGTTTGGTTTTCGACCACTAGCACCCGGATTCGATTCCCGCATTGGACACTTTTTTCTGTTTAAAGAAATGCTCCAATGGCCCCCGATTCTTGCAAAAGTCCAACCCCACCAGCGAGTGCAAGTAACCAAACGGGGCTCTGGCATTAGTAAGTGCAAAGTCGAACTGCTTTTCACATGTGTAGACATGTGGTGCACTTACAGTAAAAGCAGTCGCTAACTACCCACCATGATTATCATGGCCTGTACCACGTGTACTAGGGATAAGCAAAAAAAAAAAAAACTTTGTATTTATTGATCTGTTATCATCATGATTATTTAGGGTGAATGATACTTCCCAAAGCCTGTGCATCCAATGAGTTCCCACTGAGAAAATCTTGGGAGGGAGAGAGCTGCCAACAAACTAGAGAGAAACGGTCAAAATTCTCTCTATTCATCTTCCCCATAGACTTTCCATTAGGAGCTCTTCCCTCCATTTGATGGATGCTCTCTTTACATTTTTAATCCTTCCATTTAACTCCTCTCTCTGTCTCCATAAAAACATATTTTTGTTCTTCTTCCAATTCTTCTGTCGGCACCTTGTTGTAAACTAGGTGGGAAAAGAGGTGGTACCACTCCATTTCAAACAATGCATAAAAAGAGTACAGTTAAACCTGTCATTAGCTCCCCCTCTTGGGACTCACCAAAATAGGGTGCTATAGAGAGGGGATGCTATAGACAGGTCACTTTTAATGTAAATCGCATCGTACTACGTATTTAAAATCAGGTGCTATAGAGAGGGAGGTGGTATTTAGAGGGGGCGCTATAGACAGGTTTAACTGTATATTCTTATTTCTACCCTGTATGTAGAATACTCTGATCACTTAGTAAGTGCTACAACACACCAGCCTTAAAATATTAGAAAAAGTTGTCTATCTAGACCTCTTTGATTACAACGTTCAACAAGGAAGAGGTGCTTCCTTTTGAATTGAAGTCAGTGTCAAATTATCATCATTTTGTGAGATTAACCTCTACAGAGTTTGTACACATCATGGAATGTCAAGGGGGTCAGTGGAAGGATGGTCTAAACTGTTGGTTTTCGATCGCTACAATTCGGGAACGAATCCCACATGGGCACAAGTTGTGAGCAACTTTTAGTTACACCATTAGGAGATGCCTTTTTTCTTAAGTGTTATTTTTGTCAGAAAGGGAAATTGATTTTAAACTGAAAAGTGTTACTAATACTCTCTCACATTAAAATAAGATACCATAAAAATATATGCTCTTTATTGACCATTTCTAACCACAAGGTAATAAGACCAAATCCAAATAAATAAATAGTGTGTGACGTTTCGGTAACAGCGTTATTACCATCTTCAGACAAAAGTACTGAATCATACTTTTGTCTGAAGATGGTAATAACGCTGTTACCAAAACGTCACACACTATTTATTTTTTTGGATTTGGTCTTATTACCTTGTGGTTAGAAATGGTCAATAAAGAGCACATATTTTTATGGTATCTTATTTTAATGTGGGAGAGTATATATGTGATGAAGTGTGGTCTGGTAAGCCTTGTAGAATCCTGTCGACTTTGATGTGATAAAGAGTGAGGTCTGGTACGCCTTGTAGAGTCCTGTCGACTCTCGCTATAAGCTGTGGTAACCGAGGGTCAAACCTGTAGTAACCGAGAGGCGGTAACAGTCAGGGCGTGGAGAGTTTTCCAGTACCTCTCTGCACTTTGGAAGACCTTTAACAGTTTTCACAGAGTACAGGCAGTCGTGGTCGAGGCAGAGTGGAAAGTTTGGGAATGTCCACACACAAAACGAAGAGACACAGCTGTAGTAGGAAAGTTCCATGAACAGATAGGAGTTGAGCTAAGCAAGATGGAGTTAGAAAGGTTCTTACTGTTTACATGACGATGAGGTAGTCCTGGCTAAGACTGACAAGGGCTCACGCTGACGGTGAAAGGGGTGACTGCTGACTAACTACGGACTAACTGCGGACTAACTGCGCTCGGCTAAAAAGCGAGGTGTTTATATACCATTCCCGAGGTGGGGGGGGGGAGTTGGACTTTAAACGTCTGCGGCATTCCGCACCCTTTGGACCAGATGGCAACGGGCTGCCGAATTCCTTTTCAGGGTTGTTGGATT